CAACGTTGGCTCCAAGGCCAAGGCCGATGGTGGATCCAAGAGCAGAGCTGGCGCTGGCTCCAACAGTAGCTCCAGCACCGAGTCCAATACCGGATCCAATTCCAGATCCAATATTGGCTCCGACACCAAGGCCAATGCCGGTGTCAACACTGGTTCCGAGAGCAGAGTCAACGTTGGCTCCAATGTTGGCTCCGAGGCTGAGTCCAACACTGGTGCCAACATCGGGTCCGAGCCCGGAGCCAACGTTGGCTCCAAGCGCAGCTCCAACGGCAAATCCAAGGGCAGATCCAAGACCGGAACCACTGCTGGCTCCAACACTGGCTCCAACTGCAAGTCCGATGCCAGCACCAACATCTGATCCAGGAGTGGAGCCAATGTTGGAGCCGACATTGGCTCCGAGGCCAAGTCCAACGCTGGATCCAAGAGCAGAGCCAACATCAGCACCAATGTTGGCTCCGACAGCAGCTCCAATGCCAAGTCCAACACCAGATCCAATGTCAGATGCAAGAGCAGTGCCAACGTTGGCTCCAACATCAAGTCCAATGCCAACATCAACGTCGGATCCAAGAGCAGCACCAACGTTGGCTCCAACACCAGCTCCAACGGCAAGTCCGACACAGGATCCAAGACCAGAGCCAACGTTGGCTCCAACGCCGGCTCCAACGGCAAGTCCAACACCGGATCCAAGACCAGAGCCAACGTTGGCTCCAACGCCGGCTCCAACGGCAAGTCCTGTGGCCCCAACGCCGGCTCCAACGGCAAGTCCAACACCGGATCCAAGACCAGAGCCAACGTTGGTTCCAACGGCGGCTCCAACAGCAAGTCCGACGCCAGGTGCAACACCAGATGAAAGAGTGGAGCCAACATTGGCTCCAAGAGCAGCTCCAAGGCCAAGTCCAACAGTGGATCCAAGATTGGAGCCAACGTTGGCTCCAATATTGGCTCCAAGGCCAAGTCCAACACCAGCGCTGGCTCCAGCACCTATGTTGGCTCCAACGCTGGCACCGACGGTGAGTCCAACACCAGCGCTGACGTCGGATGGCAGAGCGGGGCCAACAGCTCCAATGCCGAGCCCAACGCTGGCTCTGACGCCGCCACCGAGACCAGGTCCAATGTTGGCCCCGACGCTGAGCGCGACGCCGGCTCCGAGACTGGGGCCAACATCTGCTCCACCATTGGCTTGGAGACCAGCTCCAACATCATCTCCGGCACCGGCTCCGAGAGCAGCTCCAATATCAGCCCCAAGGTTGGGGCCGACATCGGCACTGGCACCAGCTGCCACACCAAGGCCAATGTCAACTCTGATGCCGGCTCCCACGCCAATGCCAACTCCAGCGCTGACATCAGAGCCGAGACCGTGTCCAACACCATCTCCAAGACCACGTCCAACGTTCGCTCCGATGCCAGCTCCAAGACCAGGGTCAACGTTGGCCCCAACGTTGCCTCCAAGACCATGTCCGATGGCAGATCCAAGACCAGGTCCCATGTTGGCATCAAGACCAGGTCCCACGTTGGCTCCAAGACCAGGTCCAACACCAGCTCCAAGACCAGGGTCAACGTTGGCTCCAAGGCCCGCTCCAAGACCGTGTCCGACATCGGCTCCAAGGCCACATCCAACATTGACCCCAAGGCCAAGGCCAATGTTGATGCCAACATTAGCTCCAACGTCGTCTCCAAGCCCAGATCCAACACCAAGGTCCACGCCAGATCCAACGCCAGGGCCAACACCGAGGCCAACGCTGGGGCCAGTGCCAACTCCAAGGTCCCCACCAGCTCCAATGCTGGCACCGGGGAAGTCAAGGCCAGGGCCGAAGGGCTCAGGACCCCAAGGCCAAGGCCAATGTTGATGCCAACATTAGCTCCAACGTCGTCTCCAAGCCCAGATCCAACACCAAGGTCCACGCCAGATCCAACGCCAGGGCCAACACCGAGGCCAACGCTGGGGCCAGTGCCAACTCCAAGGTCCCCACCAGCTCCAATGCTGGCACCGGGGAAGTCAAGGCCAGGGCCGAAGGGCTCAGGGGGTCCTGGGGGGGCTTCA